TGTGCAGCAACAGGCAAAGGGCTTTTCTGGGGTATTTACAGCTACCCCAACATACACACACCTCCTCCTCCTCCTTCGTCGGCAGGTATCTGCATTGTAGAGTAATTCTTTGTCCTAAAAAAGAACAACCACCACTACACACACACATTTTTTCACTTATTAAACCCTTCATTTTCAGAGGTAGGTATGGTAACATAGCCTGCTCCTAGGGCCAAAATCATGTTTGTTTTCTGTTACCCACCCTATCCCACCTAGAGCCGACCCCATTTGCTCAGACTCAGATTTTCTTTGGTGGACAAACTCTCCTCAACAAGACAAACTGCTAGACCATCTTCTCCAGCTGGAGTCTGAGGTCCTGGCTGAAATCTCATTCCATGGCTTTTGTGACAGTACGGAGACACCAAAATGCTCAGTGAATCCAAGAAAGCTGAGGGACATCCATGGGGCAAAACACTGCCCGTAGCATTACACATGTGCCTGTCAAGTCTTGCTCCGAGAGCTGGTGTAGGCTGGGTGTTTGCTGAAACCAGACCTAACTTCCACCTTGCCATGTTTCCATGAGCCAAGGTAAGTATTGCAAAGACCAAGATAATTCGAGGCGGTGCAGCTGGCAGGGGTGAGCCAAGCTCAGGCCTCACGGTGCTTTCCAGGATCCTCCCCAAGCTCTGCTCCGCTCCCACGCGCGTCTCCCTGCAGACACACCGGGTTCACGGGCACTAGAGCATTCAGCTCAGTTAGGCTATGGCCTTAACTCCAGAAGTCATGGACATGAAAACTGGGTCTTCTCACCACTGAAGCATTAGGGCAGCATCCCTTCCCCAGACTTCTTCATTTTCATCCCGATTGCTTCTCACCTTGTCCTACCTTGTGTCATTTATTGGAAGAGTGTATCAGCTATGCTCCCAGAAGCTAGTATTAACTGTGTTGGTATCACACAAGCTGGTGTGTAGGAGATGTAGTTGAAGGGATCAGTTCCACTGCATAGGTAGGCTATACCTCTGCGCAGGTGCAATAAGCCCCAGCTTGCAGAAGGGCACAGCTAAACCTATGAGTGTGCTCCTGGAAAAGGCTTCCCCACTGCTCCACATCTGCAAAAAGTTCATCTCTGACTTTGATCCTGTGAACCAGCGCTATGGGGATGATCTTGAGCTAAAGATGACTGCAAGGACAGCCTAAGAAAAGGAGCACCAAGTTTCGCGTGGTTGTGCTCCCAAAGGATGGGTTGCCAAAAGCCAACTGTTGGCAAGAGGGGCAGATTGGGCTCAAAAGGGGCAGACCAGATGCAGCAACCACCCAGCTCTGTGGCACGGAGCCTCCAGTGGCACACGCATCTGCATCAACAAGGCAGAGGCAGAACAAAACTGCTTGGCTGTTGAGCAGGAATGACCACATCAGCTTTGGGGCTCCAGCTGCAGGATGTCAACTCGGTCAACTGCTCCCACCTGCTGACAGCTCTGTGGTCCAGGAAAGGTTGCCAGTGAGTTGAAAGACACTTTGCACAGAGACCAGGATGCTCTTTGTCTTCTTGGTCAGTGGTGAGCCCCAGACAGGGCACAACAATGCCTTGGCAAAGGGTTTGCCTGACTTGGCCAACTGAGCTTTCACCACCAACCCTTCACCATCACAGGAACAGCATGGGAGGCCCACCACCCGGAAGGTCTCACCAAACAGCAGTCTGATTTGTTCTGCACACTCAAAGTATTGACAAAAAACTTCCCTGGACCTACAAAGTTTCCCTCCTGGGATGGACTCACATTTTGGCATGCCCAGTGGCCTCTGCGCCCGGCATCATGACAAAACCAACCACAGCACTATCGGCATGACACTATCTGATCTCAGCTATGAAAACATTGCTGCAAATCTAGCAGCATTTCTGAAACACTAGCTTCAATACACTTTTATTAAATCCAATTAAGTAGTGTACTTGTCTTAAAGTGTGCCCACCCAGAGCTCCACACACATTAATGCCATCAGTTGCTTCAAGCAATCACCTCGCGTTACACCCCTCGCTCTTGAGGTTATTTCCACAATTGTAATTAAATCCTCATTAACAATTATCAATTATAAAGTAAATCAAATGTAATAGCCTACACAGGGAATCTCAACTCATATTCAGGGAGCCTGAAAACCTTCTGAGAGGAAGAAATGTTAACCACCACAGACAAGCTTCTTCTCTAGAGCGTGGAGGTCAGCAGAGGGACTTGTCCAATGGGACTGTTGACAACCACAACCTCTAGCCCAACCACCAAGCCTAATCCAGGCACAGAAACAGCACATGCCTGGTGGCCACAAGCACAAGACAAGGCTGTCTGTCACTGGGCACATGATGGATTTCCCCCATTTCCGTTCATTTCTTGAACCTCTCCTCCCCAGAGCACCCTTTTGCCCAATGTGAAGGTGCTCTGAAGGGAACCTGGTGTGAATTCTTCTCGTCTTCGCCCCTCCTTTTGTTGTTGTGAACAAAGCCTAAAGAGCAGGTGTTCAAACACAACTACTCAAGGCACACAAATCTCTCTGACAGCATCTAGCCCAGGTGAGCACCGCATCTCCTCACCACACTGACTTTTCACAGCCCGAGGAACCTGTTTCACTGCTGTCCAGGAAATATTCTTGTAAACCAACAAAACAAACGCCAGAGGCTCCTACTGCCAACTGCACGGCCCCTGGTTCCCACGTGCCCATCTCCAAACCCAGCGGGCATTGTGGGCTGGGGAGCAGATCCTCCCTGATTGCTCTCGGCCTCACAGGAGATCCCTTCTGCCCAGCCTTCTCCAGCATTTACTGCCTCCACCCCTTCGAATTTCCCCGATGGCAAACCAACCGTGTCGTTCTGACAGTGAAACCATCGGTGCCACGGGCCATGGCGATATTTCAAGGAGAAAAAAAGGCACCCATAAATCCTTTCTTACTCTGGAAACCAAGAGTTTCTCCTCTTGGAGGTACTTACACAGCAAATCTCCAGCCGCTCCCAGTCCTCCACCCCCAGCGCTCCTCTGAACCTTCCCCAAATCTCTCCCACATGAATCAATCTGAAGGCAAAGCTGGCAAAGCCTTCCAGCCCCCACCAACCAATTCCACCACTGTGCCATCAGGTCCCGCTTCCATTCTGGCCTCCAGGTGCACCAGGAGAGCAGCTCCCAGTGTATTCACTGGGAGAGGGACTGCTCGAGTGACCGCCTGTGCTTAGCTGGGGTGCAGGCACCACCTGTAAGGCTTCCCAGCTTTTTGTGGAGCACCACGGAGTGACCCTGCTTAGCACTGTTCATTTTTCTCTAGGCTTGTGAGGTTCGGAGATTGGTTCAGATAAGCATCCTCAAGCTTGCACGCTTATCATCTGCACCATCTCCCAACCGGCTTTGATCTGCAGGATTTGGCTGCAGCCCTCAAAGTTATCTTGAGAAAGCTTGTTCTGGGGAGAGTAGTTGTTCTGATTAACAAGAAAAAGCTTTCTTAGTGGCTTTGAGCATTTTCAGCCCTGGCTGGAATCAGGGAGTGTAGAAATGTCTGCACACAGAGAGAAGGAAAAAGTCAAGCGAGCTTCACCTTAAAGCTTCACTTGGGCTCAGTTACCATTTTGGCTAAAATCTGAGGTCAGTTATTTCATCTTGCTTCTTTTTCCCACTCTCTAACACTGTCTCGCCCCCACACACACACGCTCCCACCCCCGCATGGGTCAGTCTCTATATACGGGCTCATGCCTTGCGTTCATACGTGGCTTTACATCATCCATATCCTATGCAAAGCACCTGGGAGGAAAGCTGGCTGCACCGACCAGCAAAGGCAGTCACCGACGGGCTGGGAGAACTGTGCATGGTGAGGGAGAGGGATTTGGCTGGGTGAGGGCAAATTTGAAAAGATACAATATTGAATTAAATAGCTGAAACAAACAGCCCCTCTCAAAACCTCCAGTCGAGGAAACACAAGTCACACGTAAGTACGTGTTAATTGAGTCAGATGCTAATTTTCCAGTTTACCCTCTACTTGGCCAAAGCTTTAGGAAATATTCATTGGACTGAAAAGCATAAAATTTAACTCCTTCTCTTGCAAAATGCCAGCGTGGATTTCCCCCCCCGCCCCGCCTTCAGCCCATCATCACCCCACGCAAGATTTCTTCTTTGTGGGAACAACGAGGGAAGAGGAGGAAGATGGTCTTAAGGAAAATGAAGGATTACAGAATTAGCAGTGAAGTTTATAGTGGGGAAACTACCCCAAACACATCCTGCTGCCCTCACATAATAGATAAATATGCATTAAAAAAACACTACTCAGGGAAGGGAAAGAAGTGTGAACAGCAAAAATATGTACATGTGTTTTAAATAATTTTTTTAATTGTTGAGGCAGTAATACTTGGTTCATGGAACTGCAATATACAGAGAGGTGAAATAAATAGCTTATATATATATAATATATATAATATAGCTGGTTTTAAAATATTCCCTTATCATTGGTGTACTAGGTCATCTTGTAGTCACTTGAATGTATTTAGCAGCATTCTCCAGAACTGAGCATAATGCAGGATCACGGAGCCGTGACACCTTATGTCGTCAGAAAGGTTACAGAAGATCGATGCGTTGAGAACTCCACGGAAACTCAATCACTGCGGCACACACCATCTTGTCTCAGGCCGGCGTGCAGCAGACAATAAATAGATTACTGCAAAACCGGCACTTTTCGGGGCAGGGTCTCAGTAACTTTGGGAAAGAACTTTGGTTTTCTTTGGTTTTATTTATTTATTTTTAATAATTACTTTTTTTTTTTTTTTTTCCTCTGGGGATATGCTTGAAAAGTTGTCCTTTCCAGAAAAGCGAAATAAGCACCTGTGTGTCATCAACAACAAGAAGTCAATTTAAATAGAGCAGTTCACTTTGTTTTTCAAGTCACAATAAATCCCTAACAGCTTTTCCCCAGCGTTTGCAATCTAGTCTTTTATTAATTTTTTTATTTTTATTTTTTTTTAAACACAATGTACAAAAATAGAGCTTCTTCCTTATTTTTAATGTAAAAATATTCCTCTGGTGCAGTTTTTTTTTTTTTTTTGTGGTTTATTATTGTGACACTGGTTTTGTCTATTTTTAACTGGGGTTGGTGGGTCGTATTCTCTTAGTCCTCTTGGTGACTGTTGTGTACTTGAAAGGTTTCTGTATCTCCACTTGCCCCTTTGGGTACCTCTTCATAAAATGTACATCTTGCTGGTTTTCCCGAGTCTTGGGCCCTTTCCGTGGCCTCCCTTTTTTGGTGAATCCAACATACCAGCCTGAATATTTTGCTGACATCAGTGCCGTATAGTTGTTTTCTAGGACTTTTTCGATGAAGACACACTCTTTGCTGGTGCCATCAGGCTGAAAAAGAAAAAAAAAAAAAAAGAAAAAAAAATTGTTATCCAAATTCAAGCTCAGTGACCAAAACCAAGTTTGGCATCAATAAAATCATCACATCTGGACCTTGGTTTTAGTTCAAACATTGTTAAATCAGAGCAGTAACAAACATCAGCTGAAATAGAAATGAGTAAAAAAAAAAAAAGCATAAAAGCATGAGGTCATCATTTCTTTTTTTTAAAACACTCCTACCCAAGGAGAGAAAGATTTTTCAACGACAACAGTTGAATTTACCCAGGGCAGCTCCTTCAACTGCAAGCAAAGCAAGACATTTAGCTTTGCTTTTTCCACTAGGAAAGGAGGATGAAATGAACCTGTGCCAGGGAAGCATCATACTTAATCAGAAAAAAATTAAAAACTCAGAATCTCATATGGGCCAAACAACAGCATTTACCCTTCTATTGCTCACTTCTGATAAGTTTTCCGACATACCATACAGGCTTGCATCCATAATTACCCAAATCCTACCAAAATCATTACAAGCCTTAGTCTAAGTCTTCCCCGTGCTTTGAAAACTCTCCCCCCGCAGCATCCTGGGCACGACACCCAGCAAATAAACCACGCGTGGAGTTCCAGGGATGAGCCAGAGGGGTGTGGGGTCCCCAACCCCACGCCAGTCCCCGGGACCCCAGAGAGCCCCAGAGCCAGCAGTTCTTTCGGAGCCAGACAGCACATCCCAGGCTTGGCTCCCACTCGCATCCCCAAGCGACGGGAGCCACGGAAAGAGCCATTCCCATGCCGGAGCATCTCCCCGGATGGGATGGCATCCCACCAGCATCCCGACGCGACTTCAGCTGAAGGACGACGTCAAGTGTCCGATTCTACACCTCTACTCTGTCAGGGTAGGTTTTTGGTTGGAAGAGGTTTTCATTTCTGGTGGCAGAGGGGACATTGTCCTTCCCCTTTCCTGAGCTTTCAATCTCAGCCTAAAAGCAGCCACTCAAAGCCCAAGGACCTGGCTTAGGAAGCCACGTCCCTAAATTACTTTCTGCTTCACAGTGGGAGCCAGGATTAGCACAGAACTGGAGGCCAGAAGCTCCCAAGCATGAGTGCTGCTCCCCAAACACCCTGCAGCAAAACACCCACCCTGCTGGGACTCCTTTCACGATCCAGTTGCTGGTTTGAGACTTTGGCAAACAGGGTTCAGTTCAGCTTGGAGATCTAGACTAACAGACCCAAAACTGGACTTTTAATGGGGCAGCATTTGGATCTCAGGCTGGACTCGGGAGTCTAATTTACACAGCACGCGCAGCATTGGAGGGAGTTAGAATCACAGACTGGTTTGGGTCTGAAGGGACCTTAAAGATCACCCAGTCCCACCCCTCTGCCCCGGGCAGGGCCCCCTTCCCCCAGCCCAGGGGGCTCCCAGCCCCGTCCAACCTGGCCTTGAACCCTTCCAGGGAGGGGGCAGCCCCAGCTGCTCTGGGCACCCTGGGCCAGCGCCTCACCCCCTACACAGGGAACAGTTTCTGCCTTAGATCTCATCTAAATCTGCCCTCTGTCAGTTTAAAACCATCACCCCTTGTCCTACCCCCACCCACTGACCCAGAGTCCCTCCCCACCTTCCCTGCCCCCCCTTTAAGCCCTGGGAGGCCGCTCGAAGGTCTCCCCGGAGCCTTCTCTTCTCCAGGCTGAACCCCCCCCACTCTCTCAGCCCGGCCTCCCAGGGGAGCTGCTCCAGCCCCCCCAGCATCTTCGTGGCCTCCTCTGGCCCCGCTCGAGCAGCTCCGTGTCCTTCTGCTGTTGGGGGCCCCCGAGCTGGCCCCGGCACTGCAGGGGGGTCTCCCCAGAGCGGAGCAGAGGGGGAGAATCCCCCCCTGGCCCTGCTGCCCCCCCTGCTCTGGCTGCAGCCCAGGGCACGGGTGGGTTCTGGGCTGCGAGCGCACGGGGCTGCCTCACGGGCAGTTTTCCCCCCACTAACCCCCCCAGTCCCTCTCCTCGGGGCTGCTCTCCAGCCATTCCTCGCCCAGCCGGGGTTTGTGCTGGGGATTGCCCCGACCCCTGGGCAGGACCTTGCCCTTGGCCTTGTTGAACCCCATGAGGTTTGCCCGGGCCCCCCTCTCCAGCCTGCCCAGGTCCCTCGGGATGCCATCCCTGCCCCTCAACGTGCCCCCACACCGAGAACAGCTCGGTGTTGTCGGGGAACTTGCTGATGGTGTGCTCGATCCCACTGTCCACGTTGCCAACAAAGATGTTAAACAGGGTTGGTCCCAATACCAGCATCGCACAACAGCGTCTTAAAGTCCTCCAGCACAGAGGAAAATCTTCTTGCCTATAATCTTCTGACAGAAAATATGTTTTACTCTTTAACTGCTGAGTTACTGGTGCTGCATCTAGAACATCACGCACTGTTGTGTGCACTGGCACTTTGTTTATGCATCAAAGATATTAGGGAATAGCTACAGGCTCACTTCAGCCCTGGATGTTGTCTTACCTCTGGATGTTTTATGGATTCTAGACAGGGATAAGCACGATATGGAGCATCATACAGGACTTAATCTAATGCTCAGCAAAGCCAAAGGAAGGATTTCTACCATAGTATTAGCCCAATCCAACTCCCCACTGAAGTGAAATAAAGAGTTTTTTAGTACTGCAGGCCTATGCTTGCTGCTACGCTTACTATTAAACTCTCCCCATCCAAACTAAATAGTATCAGACCCTCTCAGTCTTCAGCCATGTCACCTATCCCATCCCTAGGAGGGGACAGGAAAGCCACAGCAGCGTGACCAGCACAGCAGCTGCAGCTGCCCACCCCTTCCCCCAGGCCAGCTCAACCTGCGCTTCCCTAGAAGTCTTCCTGAAAAGTCCTGCACAATCACAGCAGAGCCTGGTGCAGTCTGTGGGAAGCTCAGGGGTTCATGGCACAGGAGGGAAATTCCTCAGGCCGAGCTGGCTCAGGCTTCCCTTCACCTCTGCTCCCCACATAACCGCGTACGAGCTACAAACGAAGCTGCGAGATGGGAACCATCAGACACAGTGACCCAAGCTGGAGTCACACAGGCAAAAACAGGGGAAAAGCTTCGTCAGCGCCACCCTCCAGGACCAGACATCCCTTCCCGGCTTAACACCTTTACCAGAGGCTTCAATGCAACCCGTGCAACAATATGTGATGTTTACCCTAAAATCATTAATGCACCATCCTGCCTAAAAGGTTTCATTACCACAGGTAGGTCTCATTAAGAGGGTATGGGAGATCATGGCAATTTCTGCATCAAACATGCTAATCCAGAGTCTGCGTTCCCTACATGTGCCCCCTGTACGGGGGCAAATCATCTACAACTGGAAGCTCACAAGCACTTTGATGAATGGCAGAACTGGGCAAAGCTCAGTGGTTCCAGTTCTGGGAGGGGTATGGTGGTGGGGGGGGGGGCTGTCATTCTCCAAGCCCTGGGTTTGATCAAAGCCACATGAGTGGGGAAGGGGGAAATCAGTCGACACCACAGGGTTCCACCAGGTTTCAATGGGAAGCCATAAAACCAGCCCCAGGTTTCTCAGGGCTCAGCCCACTACAAACCCTTCCCCAATGAATGGAGAATTTTTAAACAATACCATGGCTGAGTTTCAAATCCACCCAAACCCAGGTGCTGATGAACCGACCGGATCCGTACCGCAGGGGGAGCAGGTAATTGGAAAGACTGTTTCCCCAACGCTCATGGAAAGGTCCTGGATTTGAGCCCTGACCTTGTTGCTAGGAGAAATAAGAAGTTTTCCTGCGATTTGGGAGGTTTTCGCTTGTAGTGCAATGTCAGTTTCTTATGGAAAACGAAGACTGGAATGGAAAGAAAATGTGTGTGTAGGAGGGGGGAAGTTATTCTATTAGTAACAAAAAAGTATTTACTTATACCTTTAAATTTGCCGACAGAGCCTAAGACAGAGACAGGAGGTGGAGGAATAACAAGGTGCAACTTCAGGCCAACCTCAGGGCTAATTTGAAGTAAACAAGGTGCATGAGATAAAATAACTTCGTTCTGGAAGAGGAAGAGCTAAGTGATTTGATAACATGAAATTACAGTAACATTTACAAGTACCTCAAGATTAATCAGGATAAGGACCTCACTTCCCCAAACAGAGCATTCCTGTACATGCTAAGACACGTCAGAGACAGACAAGTGATTTTCAAATACTCACAAGATGATTTTACAGCATTTGTTATAATCCTCAATAGAATAAATCACTCACACATGTTAGATCATGGAGAGCTGGATCCATGGTAATTTATTAGGGGAAAAAGCAGTTTATAAGAGTTTTCAATAATTTTTAAGTGTCACCTTGTTTTCACCAGGTGCCCATCACTTAAGGTCTGATCACATCCCTATTTACATGTCAGCAAAACACTCACTGGGTCTGGCACCCATCCCCGCACTCCTCCAAATTGAGGAGGAAGGAAGAGAAAAGGGAAACAGCTCTGACCGAGCGTCAGTCCCTACTCCAGCACCCGCTCGCCCTTCCCCAGGAGCTCCCAGGGCAAACGCTTGCTGCCGGTACGGGGCTGCACCCTCTGCCGCTGCCATCAGCCGGGAGATGCTGCCAAGCCGCATTTCACACATACTTAGCTGTCAGGATGCACCTTGCAGAGCGCTTGCCCTTCAAAACGTGGAGGCTTACGTTTTGAACTGATTCTTTACAATAAGGGAGAGCTCCTGAAAGCCTTGGAGCTGTGCAGGAACGGCCTGGCCTGGTGCGATGGCTCTGCCGCATGATGGGGGGAGCGCCCGCACCCAGCCCTGCGTCCCCGTCACCCCCCTGCAGCGGGGTGGGCACAAAGGCTTTGCAGCCCCAGGATGTCCCCCCACACACACACGTGCTCGGGGGATGAGCTTCTCCCGCGTTTCGCTCACCACCGTCCCACAGGCAGCATCTCCAGCCAAGCTCCCTGCTCAGAGCAGGGCGAGAGCCATTGCAGAGGCACAACCCTGCTCCTGCGAAAGGCAAGGGCTCTCTTCAAGTCAGCACCTCCTTGTATC